GACTGGATGCATTGAAAACGCTGTCATCGGATTCCATCGGAACCACCGGAAGGGAGGTCTTCGGCTGTAATGCAGACTGTTTGTTATTTAGAAGATACTGTTTTGGGTCTCACATTTCACCTTTTAGAAACTCAACGAAAAACTACAACAGCTGCGAATAAAAGATTCCATAGATGCGATAAAGTAGAGAGATCATTTTAAAATAAATTAATTCGAAACAATTAGCTATCTACCTGTTTCTATTATTCACACCATCCACAACCTTGAACTTAGACTTGGGCTATACATCTTCTCACTTTGTGCTACTAATGACTCATATAGAAATAAAATACAATTGACTTCCCAATACACGGGAGTACGGATATTGTACCTTTCATTTGGTTTTCGAATGGGATGATTTTAGGGGCTATTCACAAACCAGTCTTTGAGAAATGTTAGACACCCCTCCCAGAGGTTTTTTTTAAGGATCGTGGAAACTTGTCAAACTCCTTGGCTATCTAAACTGTGCACGTGATTTGTGAACAGCTCCTTGCTGCAACTCATTTTGTTTTGTAGTTCTTTGAGTAAAAAGTTGATTTTTTTTTTAATCAGCGTGAGTTCAATGCAGCTGTTAGCAATGGAAGAAAGTTTCATTTCAATAATGTCTACTGCCAAAACTTTTAATTTTTGACGTAGGACTACGTCTTCAATTTCTATGTTAGGGGTCACATTAAAAAAAATCTGAATTCAGATATGTAACGAAAAATCCCAAACACGGACGCAACAATAGAGCACAAATCGAATAAACGACACATAGCACATGCTCACATGAGCGAAGTCAATGCTCGGTTGATCGCTTACCATTTCACCAATGAAATGAAGGGAGGAGAAGAGCAACGATACGCTTGTCAAACCGTTTCTTCGTTTCTCAAACACTTGAGTTGCACATTTTAAAATCATCTGGCACTGATTTTTAATCTGTGCCTCCGACTTGACTACTTCCCTTGTGTTGGAAGTGAGTACAATCCGAAAACCTGGGAAGGATCCGTCCGTTCCTTCAAGTTATCAATCAGCCTTCTCTCAGGGTTATCAAAACTGTTCGAAAGAGCATTCCATCACCGGCTCCTAAGATGTGCCGAAGAAAACAACTTGTTACTCGAGGAACAGTTTGGTTTTCGGAAAGGTCGTTCGCTGACTCGAGTAACAAACATTCTCAGACGGAACAAGTCTGTTTCGAAAACATCTGCCATGGCGTTGTTGGACGTTGAAAAAGCGTTCGACAATGTCTGGCATGATGGCGTGGTGTTCAAATTGCAGCAGTACGGTCTTCCAATCTTCCTAGTGAAGATAATAAATAACTATCTATTGGACAGGACGTTCCGAGTCTCTCTGAATGGCATCAAATCGGATGCTTTCAACATCGATGCCGGGGTTCCACAAGGAAGCATCCTTGGCCCCAATTTATTCATCCTGTTCACTTCCGATATGCCAGCTCTCCCTGATGGAGGATGGTTGTCTCTGTTCACATATAACACATCCATCGTCTACAAGAGTAGGGTCATCGGAGCTCTGACTGCCAAACTTCAGAGAGGCCTGGACGTCTGAATATTTCAACAGCTGGAAGATCCGTATCAACGTGGAAAAGACCCAGGTCATCATCTTACCACACTCTAAATCTCCCAGACTTGTTCCGTTGGAGCATAATAAGATCTGCCTGACCGGCACAGTGGTGGAATGGTCGAAATAAGATCACTGTATCCACTCATCAACAGGAGGTCTACTCTATCCCTGAAAAATAAGCTTGCTGTCTACAAACAAATCATCCTTCCCGTAATAGAATACGGGATGCCAATCTGGGAGAGTTGCGCCAAATGCCATCACCTCAAACTCCAAAGGATCAAGAACAAGATCCTTAGGATGATCCTAAACAGTCCCCCGCGGACTAGAAATTCTGAGATGAAATTCAGACATTAGAAGAACGGAGAGTATTCATCCTGGATAGGTTCAGAGACACCTGTTTGAGATCAAATCATCAGATCATACTTGATCTAGCACGTTAGGTTAAGTTATACTCGTAGTTAGGTAGATTTTCCTTTTTTTTTAATTCAAACAAAACACACCCCCAAATGGGTATTCTGTAAACTAGTAGAATGTTAAATTAAACAAAGACGAAGATCCAGGAAGGCTAATCAATCAAAATTCTCTGAGTAATATTCGTTTTCAATGTATATAGCTTGCCATCTCGGCTAGAAATTGGATATTGGATAGTCAAGCTCAGTGTGCAATTTGCATCGAATTCCATGTTTTAATTTGACTGCAAGGCAGGATTCTGTATTCAGTGTAGTTATTCGGATGGACAATACCTATCGCATGATTGACCTCTTAGTTCAGAATCCACTCACCATGCAGCGCTAGTAGCATTTGATTCAAAGGGCTTGCTTAAGCAGTCTGCATTCACTGGAAACGAATCTTATTCAGAGAGTGAGTCACTTTTACGTATGTTACTCATGCGCTGAGTGACTAACGCTTTTAGAAATGTATCCTTACGAATGAGCAAAAGCTATTCACTCTCTGAGTTAGTTTCGTTTTCTGTGTGTCGACTAATATGAGATTGCTATCTCTAGTAATGTTATTCAGATTGGTAAGACCTATTGTATACTCTGCACAGGGTGACCAGTGAACCGAGAAATCGGGAAAAATCCGGAAATTCTAAATCACCACCAAGTCCGTGAATTTCGATGATGAACTGGAAAAAAAAATTACTTCGTCCTCGTCCTTTTTCGATAATTTTGAATAAAATTCCAAAGGAATTTAGAGGAAATTTAAGAATGGATTCTAGAGATAGTAAGGTATGTAAGATACTGGTTAATTCCTACTGAATATTCAAAATAAATTCCGAGAAAAATGTAAAAAGAGTTCTTATGAGAACTTCAAGGAAATTCCGAGAGTATTGAATGCTAAGGGAATTAGAAAGATAATTTCAAGTGAATTCTAATGAAAGTTCCATCCAATGTCCATCCGTCAAAAATATCAAGGGTTTCGAATATTCAATAAAATTGCATAACCATTTATTTTGTCATTTATATATTATTCAATGGAAAAGCAAAACAATCTCGTAGGTCTACGTCAACAATGCGGTTGTGCTTTGGACACAACCTTCAATTTTTTAAGGATCGTTGACACTTGCCAGCCTCCTTGGCCATGTAAACTGTACACGTGATTAGTGAACAGCTCCTTGCTGCAACTCATTTTGTTTTGTAATTCTATAAATTTATAAGTAAAAGTTACAGCTCTTTTCCCAGCATACCGGTCAAGGAAGCGATCAACCATTTGGAGGACTGGCTATTAACACAACGAGAGGATGCAGCATGGAGAAACAAGGTTCGGACGTACCTTAGGCTGACCCGCCTTTGTATGGAAGAGAACTACTTCTCTTTTCGAGGTAACTTCTACAAGCAGACGAAATGAGCCCCAATGGGAAACCCCCTATCCCCGCGGCGTCTGGTTGTGTGAACTTTTCATGGCCAACTTGGAGACAACCCTGAAGGAGAAAGGACTGTTACCAAACCGTTGGTGGAGGATTGTTGACGATATCTTCAGCGTAGTAAAACGGGAAGCCCTCCACAAATTTTAGATGAGATCAACAGAATTCACAAGGATATCAAAGCACTCACGAGGTAGAAAAAGACGGGAAACTCGCATTTCTCGATCTTCTAGTCATCAGGGAATCGTCATCATCTTCCTCGGTTGAATACGAAATTTACAGGAAACCAACAAGCACCAAAAGAGTTATCCCCTATACTTCCAACCATTCGTTCCAGCAGAAAATGGCCACCTTTCACCACATGATTCATCGAATGCAGACTCTTCCACTCAGCGATACAGGAAAGGTTAAGGAATTACAGTACATCTTCGAAACAGCAAGACTCAACGGACAATCCAAGACAATCCAGGCAATCATCGATAAAAAGCGAGAATTCTACAAAGGAGATTATTTACAACCCTCACCGCAGCACCTGAACCATTGAAACAAGTGTCCGTTCCATTTGATCAAGATATTACTTGTAAGCTTAGACCACAGTTAAAACAATTCGGATTAGATTTAGTTTTCACCAGTAGACATAACCAGTTGAAATCATTGTTAGGATCCACTAAAGACCAAGTTAATGTTTTAGATAAACCAGGTGTATATGAAATAAGCTGTAATCATTGTAACAAAGTATACGTAGGACAAACCAAGAGAACTTTAGCAACTAGATTTAAAGAACATATAGCGGAGGTTAATAAGGCCAAAAAGCAAGAGGAAAAAGGCCTAACATATGATTTCAAATCAAAGGTTGCAGAACACATCTTCACAGATGACCACCAGCTATCGACGGAGGACATCACGATTTTACGAACCGTATCTACACCATGGAAATTGGATGTTGCAGAAAGCCTCGAGATCAACAAACAACGTAATTCAACTTTACTCAACAGGGATCAAGGAAACGGACACACATGGCTTTTCAAGTTGCTACCTAGGACACATCAACGAGTAAGCAGCGGAGTACCTGTTCTTATAAAAAATTAAATTTAAGTTTACCTAGTTTCTAAGTGAAAATGTACCTGTGTTAATATATATTCGGTAAATGCGATTTTTTTTCAGTCGAGTATTAGTACATTGTAGACGAAATACGCGTATCTGTCAAGAATAAGCAAATAAAGTAGTGGAATTAAATGGAAAATACTAATCCTTCTCTCTCTCATTATAAGTAAAAGTTAGTTTTTTTTTAAATCAGCGTGATTTCAATGATTATTAAGAAAGCTTTTAACTTAAATTTCATGATATTAGTTGCTACAAATACATGGCGATTTCTATTTTATAAAATGTGAAAAATAAATATGCTCACTAACTAGAATCGAAACTGGCTCACCTTCCCTACTGGGTGATGGAAAAGCTGTTTAATCCCATTGGTACTTTCCCTCAGAGATCCCCACTCAAGGTCATTTCGAAGAAATTGAAATCCATCAGAAAACTGTTTTAAGTATTAACATATTTCCAAAATAGTTTTATTCAGACGTGATTAAAAATAATCACACGCAACGCATCTTCACTCAATTGTCAAAGGCAGGAAAAGTACAACAAGTGTCACCGAAGTTTTCAACAACCTCAAAGCTACTTCAAATCCTACACCAGGGCTGTAAATGGATAACCCTCGATAACGTCTACAATGCAAAGTCCCCATTGCAGACGTTATCGACGGTTATAGATTAACAACCCTGGTTGACACCTGAATTACTTCCTCCATTGCCTTGGACGCGTCTTCATACTTCACTAATCATCCAACATTCTAATGACACACACGATTTCCTTACAACATCCTAGGAGAGAGAGAAATTTAAGCTAGCGATTGGGCAGATGCCACGTCATCGTCCAGCTGTGGTTCTACCACCGGAGCCGGTTCGACCGGTTGAGGCACATTTTTGACAACGACTTCGCTAGCGACGGTGGCTTCGGCTGTCAGTGGAATCGTATTGCTGCTAATGGCGGTGGGAGCTGCAGCCGTCGAAGCCGGTGCCGGTATCGTCAGTTCCGATGCCGATGTTCCAGAGGACGGTGATGCGTCTTCCGGGGAAGAAGCAACCGTTGGTGCCTTGGCTTCCGCTGCTATGGTGGAGGCGGTTGTTGAAGTTGTTGTCGTCGAACTGCTGCTTGGTGGAGCGGCAGTGGTCGTGGTGGTGGTGGTGGTGGTTGTCGTGGTGGGGGCAGCAGTGGTGGTCGTACTTGTGGTGGTAGTGGAGGTCATGGTGGAAGTCTTGGATGCTAGGAACTGGGACCCAGATGGACGAGTAGGACGTCCACCGCGGCGTCTGGTTGTACGAGAGGTTACCGAGGTGGTTTCTTCCGGAGCAGCGGTGGTTGTCCGCTTGGTTGAAGTTCTTGGAGTACGGGGAGGAAGAGCTGCCTTACTGGGGGTAGCCCGAGCTACCGGAGATAGACGAGTTGGACGAGTTCGTCGAGTGGCTATTGAAGATGGAGAGGAACTGTCGCTAGATTCAGTGGTGGTTGTGGTTCTCTTTGTTGTGCTAGGAGTTCCAGCTTCTTCAGTGGCCTTGGTCTTGGCTTCTTTTGGAGAAAACGCAAACTTTTTGCGACCTAGCAGAGGATGGACACCTTTCTTAAGGACAGGAGCTACAGTGCTGGTTGTCGTGGAAGCTTCATCGGTGGACTTGGTCTCTTCGGATTTTGCTTCTATGGCATCCGCCATGGGAACACCAGGTCGACTCTGGTCTTCGTGTTTGTAAACTGAAAACAATGATTGAATTCGCTGTAAAACATATTCCAAAATTGGCCCAAACTTGGACTCGGTACCTTCACCCCACACTTTGCCTGGAAACCTGTTTGCCGATTGATCTAGTGTTAGTGATGCTGGCCGTGCGGGCTTGGAATGATTATTAGTGGTGCCACCTGAACCAGCAACAGCAGCTGATTTTGCATCGTCGTCGACCTCGTCGTAAAACGGGATCTCGCTGACTGTACTAGCACTGTCACTACTGGGGGTGTCCGCAGTTTGAGCAAATGCAAAGCTTACCGCAGCGTTACTCTTCTTCAGGTTATCGAGAAAATGATCACCGAAGGACGTAAAACTCCCGAAGGCAAGCTGTCGTAACTGATGGTTGTGCCTTTCTGCTACGTTACTGATTTCTGTGTCTAAAAGCAGCCTTTGTGCGTCAGTTAAGCCTTCATTGCCATGCCTCTTTTGTATGCCACTCGGGTTATCAACGATGGATTTATGATGAGATAAGCGTGAATTATGCTGAACATGATTTGCATTAATATGGCGATTACGTCTAGGATGGTGATCATGATGATGATGATGGTGATGATGAAGTTGATGATAGGAGTTAGTGTGCATATGAGTGACGTGAGGATTACAACACGAAGAACTCAACCCCAAACCCAAAAACCCACCATTACCCAATGGTTGCAACTGACCTTTCGTTCCAAGGCGTCCCCTCCGCAGCAGCAGCGATCGCACGCCTTCATCCTGAGGTAATGACGCCACCAGCGGCACCAGGAGGCAGAACCACACAAACAGTCTGTAATTCATTCTGAAACACCACCAAACAAGAAAACGACAAAGTTCAAAACCACAAATATTGCGCACTCAACGTTAGGTAAAATAACACAATTCAAATTCGCGGTCCGTGTTCTAGTTTCGTGGCAAACCTGCACGAAATCCAACCCAAACCAATCCAATCCGTTGCAATCGCTTTGTCGGCTCACCTAAAAAATAGTTATTCTTCTACTACCCCACACACTTGGCAAACAATAACGACGATCGAAAGCAAAAACCTCTCGAAATCCCTTTCAGTGGCCACACCGCGGCTACGACAACGACGGTGACGACGACGACGACGGAGTTTGTCTTTGAGGAACTGGCACAGCGAGACCCAATGCGCGACTAACTACGGGTACGATCGATCACAGAATGAAAGGTGATTTCGATACAACGCCAACCAACAAACAGCCGCATGGCATTTCACCGAGCCAGCCACACGCCATAGGCACCTACCTTCTCGTTTCCACAGCAGCCACTGCCACTCACTCACTCGCTGATGGCCTGCCTATGTACACCTTCTATACCTACCTACCTACCTACCTACCCCGTATGCAGACGCAGTCTCGGTCTCGGTCTCGGGCTGCAGCAGGAGAGAATGGGCTTTGGGTTGGGTTTTGCATGCGACGACGATCGAAAACCGACGGCGCGGCGACTTCGACGATGGTGATGCGACGAACGGGAATGTACCAAACGGGACCGGTGCGGTGTGCACGGAGGATTCGTCGTGGATTTAGTGCACACGGACTAAGTTGAAAAGTTAAGTATGCGCTCGCTGCTGCGGTGTACTAACTAAAAGTCGGTTTCAGTCAGGTCTGGTTCGGTGCTGTTCTTGCTGTTGGTTGGTGCGAGGTTCGCGGTCGCGTGGTGAGAGAAAGAGATAAACTAGTGTCGTGTGTGTATGTGTGTGTGTGTGTGTGTGTTTGTGTGTGTGCGGTCTACTATGCGACCCAGGAAGGTTACAGATGGTCAAAATGCGAGGAAAACTGGAATCGATACTTCCTATATCGGTGCCAAAATTGATTGTTGATTGCATTCCTGGATGATGTGTACCAGGAAGTGGACGGCAGATGGAAACTTGTTTTAAGGGGGAAAAATGGAACATATTTCCGGACTTTTTTATGGTTTCTAGAGTAGAGTAGAGTAGAAATTGTGAAACAAATAAATTCCTTCTAAGAATTCAAATCATCGACGTGGATTTCAGAATATAATTATTCTTGAAAATCAGGTTCGACCAAAAAACCTGAATTTAGGTACTGACCTTGAACGGATGAAATGAGACACCATGGTAATCTTGCAGGATTTAAAGGAAAAGTTGAATAACATGTTTTTAAATGTATTCAGGGCACACAAACAGTGATGGACCAATGGGCACCGGGTACTTCTGCAGTGTTCGGTTTTCTTTCCAGGCAGACAATCAACGATGTGCGTTGAAATATTTTTATCATATTCCCACTGCGAAGGTTGTAACAACGCGGAAATTATTGTGTTTTTTGTTTATTATTCTTTGCTTTGAAATGCTCTCGTTGGGGAGATGCTCCATCCAAATCTCTTATTCAAAAAGCGCAACATCCATTTTTAACCAATTTTACTAAACATAATGGTTCAGATACACTTATCATGGTGAAGTGAGATCAGAATAGCTCTTTTCAACACGTGAGGCGATAACTTTTAAAGTAATTCAAATACGAGATGTCAGAGAAGGCAGCGATCGAATGTTGGTTGATGATGTCAAATTGTGATAAACTCATTGATTATGGAAATGCAGCGCTGATCAGATGAGGATCCTGTTCAGCAAATGCAGACTGTGATAAAGTCGAATCACTAGAAATTTTTCAAATATATTAGAAGCACAGTATCACTGACCTTGACCAGTTTCTGTTCTCTGAGCGAGAACTGGCTTTTCTACCAGACCGTAACATCTACCACATTGAACTCTGGCCCTAAACTCTTCATATTGACGGTTGTGAGCTTCGGTTTTGAAAGTCTCCGTGGAAGTGCTGTGTTTTGTCATTGTTACTGAACGATTTTATGCGATATGGACAAAACTATTTTTGACATTGTCACTGAAAGAATATACTCTCACTATGTCTCACTTTGTCGAAATCTCATTCATTTTTCGTCAGTCATCAGATAACAACAAGTGTAATTTTGAGAATTCTTATATACATTATTGTTATTCATGCAGTTGAGGACGTAGATGAATGTGTACTATGACGGGTCGGTGGATTTAGTTTGCTTAACTCATTCAATTTTTAGCAAAAAATAATATCTTCCATTTAATTCCACTTAATGAAGGTTGGTATCCATACGGGTTTTGACTTCAATGTGCAGTCTTCATTAGTGTCACTCCCACTAAAGGCTTATCGGAAATCTAACCTCCTTAAGTACTCAATTCATTTAACTCACAGCATTAAAAATTAATCTAGGTTCCGATTTTGCAAGTTATAGTTTAATTTGTATACCTGTGATTTTAACATTTTTACCAGAGTATTTAAGGGTGTTAGATTTTGATAAGTCTAAGAATGAAATGGAAGATAACATTTTTTGCGGTTTTGATTTTAGCATTCCTCTAATAACCCAATTTCATTTTTGTTAAAAATTAAACTAAAAACAAAAGTTGCACGCACTGAATTCAGATCACCAAAGTTGGTAAAATTTAACTGGGTTTTTGAACAACTGGAAAACTCGGTAAAATTTTAAATTACCTTCTCACTAGCTGGTGCTTTGCGTCATGTGACGCCCGATTGTCTTTTTTAGCTGGATCGCTCGACTAGATAGAAGATTGCTGTCTTGGGCAAAGTTATGTTCGGATACCAAATTTTTGTAGCAGCCTCTTTTTTTGTGGCAGCTCAAACTGTAATATTATGATTTTATTAGCAAAATAAATTCGATAAATTTGATTCAGAACTTACAAGAAGTGGTCTAATTCTGCTCTTGTGCACTACATAACCGTTTCCTCGTTCTAGCTCTTCCTTCTAATTACCACGAATTCTCCCGTTCAAATCGCCGCTAGCTTTCCTATACACCTGTTCCACTAATTAATTTATTTATGTTATTTTTACTTTTCCAGTTTTTCTTCTTCTTCCTTTATTTAGGAGATTTTTAGCCGTAGGCTAGTTCATCTCCGTCCAGGTTATAATTTCCTTCTATTTTCAGGCCGCCGACGGGAAACCAGATGCACAGTATAAACGAACTTTATGATCCAAAATAAATTTCTCACGTTTCACCACTTTTTGTTTTGATAAATTCCTCTATAAGTTCACTCTATTGAAATCTGCTAACAATTTCCATTTGTAAATTATATTTGGTTTGTTTTGGTTTTGTTTTTCTCTTCCCTTTCTTCACTTGTGACAACGGTACGAAACGGCAATAATAAAGACTGGACTCGGAAAAAATGAGACACACAAAAATGATCACCATAAATTCATTTTAAATCGGATACTTCTCAAATTTTCAGGGATTAAATAACTATATACTAGCTATGTTTTGGCATAATTTATTTATTGAATTTCCTCCACCAAGCGGAATGCTCGTACATTTTTCTTAACACTGATCATGAGATCTTGGGCGAGGCTTTGCCCATCTTCCTTACACAATTTCTCCCAGTTTTTCTTCAAAGCTTCATCGGTTTTGAATGTTTTTCCGCTTTTCTTCAACTTCTTCTTCATTATCGCCCAAAACTTTTCGATCGAACGAAGTTCTGGTGTATTTGACGGATTCGCCTCTTTCGGGACCACATTAACGCCCTTTGCTTCGTACCAATCCATTACAGGCTTGGCATAATGGCACGAAGCGAGATCCGGCCAGAACAGCGTGGGACCACGGTGAGAGCGGAGGAAGGGCAACAAGTGCTTCTGCAAGCATTCCTCTCGATAAATCTGCCCGTTTCTCTCTGCGAATTTGTTCATCTTTCTCTTCCGGAACTTTTCCGGAACCTCCATGTGGGACGTACCGACAAAAAAAAACTTGAGGCCGGGGATTTGTTTGGTGTCCTCCTTGATGTATGTCTCGTCGTACATGACGAGACAGCCTGGCTTGACCAGCCACTCACGGTACAGCTTCCGTGCACGCAATTTGGCCACCGTGTTTTGCTTGTCAGTCCGGTTTGGCGCCTTCCTGACCTTAAATACACGTTTCCCAGCTCGCTTCATGGTCTGCTGGACGAACCACTTCGACGAATTGACCTTTTTGGCCACGTCTCGGGTGGAAAGGTTCGGGTTATTCTTAAAGTACTGCCTTATTTTCCGCGCCTTCTCTCGGTATTCCGTTTTCGGTTTTCGGCCGTTTCCAGCGCGCCGCTCGATGGTCTTCGTCTCCTGGAACATCTTCACAACGCGGGACACGGTGGAATGGTGGATTCCAAGCCTTTTGCCGATCCATCTGTGCGACTGACCAGGATTATCGATCACCGCGCCCAAGATTTGCTGGCGTAGCTCTTTTTGTTTCGAATGCATCTTGAAAACTACTTGACAGATCGCGATAAAATTTTGCACACATATACATAACACTCTAAACTAGTATTACTCAAAATACCCACGCGATAAAAAGTTACACCCAAAAAAAAGTGTCGCATTTTTTCCGAGTCCAGTCTTTATAAGGTACGCCAACCGCAGCTACGCACACCGTTGTGTTGGGTTTGCTGCCCTGCGGTGTTGACACACCCCAGCCCGTAACATCCGGTAGTTCCTCCGGAAGTTCCGGATTTACTTTCAGACCTCCATCACTGCTAAGTTCGCTACAGCACGCCGGTAGACTCCTCTGGCCGTCCGCACTATCGCTTGCCTCACTCTTCCGTCTGGTTCTCGGAGTACCTCTTCCACGATCCCTCGGATCCAGCTTTTCCGGGTTTTTCCATCCACTATGAAGACCAGGTCGTTCACCTGTAGCGGCTTCTGCTCCTCGAACCACTTCGTCCGTCTGTTGATTGTCGGCAAGTATTCCTTGCACCATCTTTCCCACATTCGGTTCGCCAGGTAACGAGAACGCTTGTAAGTGTCTCGTAGAGCCTCCGCAAAGTCCACTGGCTGGACCACCAAGTCCGCACTTGTCACCGACACCGACACGAAGGAAATGGTTCGGGGTAATAGCTTCTTCCTCAGCTGATTCCTGCGGCATGCACGTTAGCGGCCGGGCGTTAATCATGTCCTCTGCTTCAGCTAGTGTTGTGTGCAGAACCTCGTCGGACAATGTTCGCCCATCGTCCAGCGCCTTCATCGTCTCCTTTACCAACCTCATCATCCGCTCCCGGTGGATTTTTGTGCCACGCGGTATTATCGTTCGTTATGCTGGTCGCACAGTCGCTGTTGATCTTCTTCAACTCATTATCGTCACGTTGTCCGAGAAAATTTCCTGTGGTACGCCTCGCTTACAGCTAAACCTTCGAATGGCCATCAAGCAGGATTGCGTTGAGAGACTACGCACCACTTCTAGGTGTACCGCTTGCACAGCCAAGCAAGTGAACACCGCGACCCATCGTTTCTCCTTTCTTCGTCCCAAAGTCACTTCTATCGGACCTAG